CATTTTTATGGGACACTCGGATATTCGAAATAAGATGTTGATTTTATGAATTTGAAAACAATTGTTATTGAGATTTTTAAGGGTTATTGGAAATGTTTTGATTATTTAAACATGAAAAATTTGTTCGAAAATTTGGGTCATTATATGTTGCTTGGATCAACCATAAATGTAATTCAAGAGGCTGAACAGAAAATTGAAGAACTACGTCAGCAAATGCTGATAATACTTATCGGAAAAAAAAAGAAGGTCCATACCAAGGAATCGTGTAGCGGCTAACCAACGCTTCATGCAAGATTATTTTGAAGAAAACACGATTTTTCAAAGATATTATTTTCGTCGGCGGTTCCGTATGCACAAACATCTGCTTTTGCGTATCGTCAACGACATCACGACAACGTGTCCATATTTTCAACGAGCAGATGCTAGATGTACAATTGGTTTTACTCTTTTAGTCTTTTACAAAATGCACTGCTGCACATCGTCAATTAGCGTATGCCACTTCCCCCGATGCACTAGATCAGAATCTTAGGATGTCTGGACGTACTTCATGACAAAGCCTTCACAAATTTTGTAAGTATGTCATGAGATTGTATGGTCCACAATATATGCACAAACCTACTTGTAGTGACGTCCAATAATTTTATGCTCATTATTCGAATGTGCATGGCTTCTCTGGAATGTTAGAAAGCCTAGATTGCCTCCACTGGGAATGGGGCGATTTCTTGAATGCACATCAAAGCCAATACACCCGAGGCGATCATGGTTATCCAACTATCATACTTGAAGCGGTGACCTCACAATATTTGTGGATGTGACATGCATTCTTTGGTTATGCTGGTTCCTCAATGACATAAATGTTCTTAACATTTATCTGTTATTCGACGACATGTATAAGGAGACTGCACCAAATTATTCGTTTAATGTGCATGAAACGTCATATAGGTACGAGTATTATCTTGTGGACGGGATCTATCTGGAGCGTGCTTGTTTTGTGAAGTCGTTGTCTTGTCCTAATGATCGAAAAAGGTTGAAGTTTAAGAGAGCTCAAGAGAAACGGTGGAAGGATGTTAAGCGAGCGTTTAACACTCTTAAAAATGTTGGCATATACTTCAACACCCTACACTTTTTGTTGATGAGAAGAAAACGAGTGAGGTGATGTATACTTGTATCATATTGCATAATATGATTCTCAAAGATGAAGGAAATGCAATATGTGAGTATAATGAAAACGAGATCGTTCCACCGACACAAGCTTTTGAGGTTGGAAGCGATGAGTACTTGGCGAGGAGGGCAATAATTTATGACGTTGGGACCCATCATGTTCTTTGTAGAGACTTGACGGAACATATTTGGATCGTTAACCACATCGATCTTAATGCAAGACCGATCATGATTTAGACAATCAATTTTCCGATGAAGATGTCTTTTAGGTCTATCTAGGTTTGATAATTTTAATTTCCATGTTCTGTATTTCTAAATTCTATGTGTTTTTTTTGTTTGTTTATTGTATTTTTCTTTGAAATTAATGAAATTTTAGTTTTAAAATAAGTTGCTTAAATTGATTATTTTTAATATAAATTAATTTTAGAAAAAAATAGCATGACAAACGTGTCAATTCATGTCCTGTAAATTGCAAAATTTTGATGTAATGTGACAAATTTGAGATGGTGCCTACGTGGATTGTGGCAAGCGTGACACCTCTTTCTCCAATCTAAGTGAATACAAGAAAATAATAAACAAACATAACCAAATCTTTTAATTACGTTTAATGAATTAAATGACATATACGTATATGTTTGTGTATATATGTATATATGGATTAAATGATATTATAATGTGTGTTGAACACTTGAACGTAGTAAGGTACGTAGTAGCCAAACTTAAGAAAAGAATCATAATCCATTTGATGTAAATGCATACCAGAAAAGTTGTGGTTAGGATATGAATAACAACAAGTGCTCGAAGTGGATAAATCTTGATACCAAAAATTAAGTGTGAAAGAGATTTAATTGTAGGATATAGTAAGGAAAGAGACCCTCATGGTTTTCGTATTTAGGGTTTGGACCACCATCAATTAAGCACAGCTTATCGATCAGTTGCGACATTCTTCTGTATCCACACATCAAAAACTTGTTTTTTTCCTTAAAAACTATATTTTTCTCATATATATTAAATAAAGCCAGAAGGGATTGAGTGTGATATACAGATTATACCCTACACGTATGTCTGAAAAATCTGCAGCCTATTTGGTTAATCGTTACAGAGTCTGAGAGTTTTTGTATTTAATTAAACTATATATGGTTTGATAAAAATGATTCACAATTATATAAGCATCTGAAATACCCATTAATAAAGATAAACAAATAAAATTTGTGGACCAAAAATCGAAGATATATATAAATATCAAGTAATTAAAGGTTACAATTGTATATATATAAAAATCTAAAACTATAAGAATTGTATGAAAGAGAAATAGCATTAATTAGTTATAGTCTTAACATTCTAAAACCTTAATATTAGTATATACTTCATTCATCAAACTTATAATTTAAAGAAAAAATTGACACTACTCATATGAAGTCTTAAACAGAATAAAACATATATATAGCAATGTGATGAACTAATATGATCAATGTACATAAATATTAATAATGGAAAAAGTTACATCCATCATATCATACGGAAACAATCCAAAAGGAAAAATGGTTGTTGAATATAATGTCTTGTTTTGTTGTTGTTTTTCTCAGTGTTATCTAATATAAACTTTTTGCATCTTTATGTAACTTCATGTCGGGTTGTATAATTGCATTCTTTATGGCATTAATGTTGCCCTTGTGTTTTTTTCCCTTCAGGAATTTGTGATTCATCACCCTCATTGGAACACATATATAGACATATATGACATATGACGAAGTCATATAATACCCCAAAATGGCACTTGTAATTATAGGGCATATGCATAGTCGCAGTTATGCACAAAAACTAAGAGCATCCATCAGTGTTTGTTTATGAATGATTTTCTGAAACATGCATGCCAGTGCTAGCTGGTGCTTATACACGTTGCACGAATATGAGTGCAATGCAATGCCAAAATCATCAAGAATTGTTGCTATCATATGATAATGACCTTCATTGTGAATAGTTTACTCTTATTAATTTGCATTAAACAATCTTCTCTATACATATGTACGTAAAAGGCAACACAACTATCAACTCTGATAATGCAATGACACAACCATTAAGGTGATCTATTATTAATATTCATTTCATATTTCAATACTAAAAAATGAAGTGTGTCTCATGTTCGAATCTCCAAAACTTCACTTTTACGGTGGTTTGTTGTTCAAAAGAAAACTCAAAGACATAATGATAATGTAAACACGATTGACGACGAATGTAAGAATGCTATATATCATTTCTGAATATTTATTAAAAAAATGAAAAACAAACACAAAGTATGTGTTTAGATGATGCATGGAATATGTATATGAGAGTCTTTTATTATCTCTCTAATGCATATATGTAACATTTATTTATGGTGGCCTAAAATTATTAAAAGTTTTAAATAATTCATTATAACATGGACCCCATGTGTAGACATCCAACGGTAGGATCCGAGTAAAAAACTTACAACTTCAATGCAGATGATGTACACAGTAGAACAGCTTTATTTTTCTTTTCTTTTAATGAGTAGTTATTGAATTATTAAATACCCAAAACAACCCTGCCTGGAATTCTGCAATTTTCTTTTATAGCAGAATGCCGTTCAAGCAAGCAAGCAAGCGATCACAATCCTCCTCTTTTACTCATATATTTATTATCATCATTATTATATTGTCTACTTAAATTATTTAAAAATTAACATATTATAATAATCAAAGACTGATATATCTACACCAACTTTCACTTTCAGCAGTGTAGATGTTACCTAAGCCAATGCATGCTGTGCAACATGCATTGGCTAGTTGTACACATTGCTTTAAAAGTTGGGCACTTAAGAAAGGTATCATAAATTTGCAAACCTTTTTATAAATGCCTTTATTTATAAGCAGATTCTTTGCCATATGCTTAACCCATACCTTTTATCTATATGCGTCTTTTTCATTGTTAAGTTGCATTAAAAGCTTCTACAGTATTATAACCTCACAATGCATGCCTCTAGTTTCAGTTTTGTAATAATGTTTGGTTATTAATATACAACCTACTAATGCCACCCTTTTTATTTTCTAACATAGAACTAAATTTAAATATAAAGTTTAGATATTATTATGAATACAATTATAAAACTTTCCCCTGATTTGTATACTTCAACTTAAACAAATACATCATATTCTAGATTCTAGATTGACCACAAATATTTTTTGTTTCAAATATCTAAAACATTTTAACTTATTTATGATTATTTTAGTGGAAGAAACAAAACTTTGAGCTTGATACTTCAAAAATAATTTATTATTTAAAAAAAAAAAACAAAATGTATGTACAGGGCCTATGTTGAATGAGGGCTCATACCCGAAATTTTAATGTGTTGTGATTCCGTCACTAATCTGTTGCTATCTGTCGATTTTGTTGCTAATCCGTACATTCTTTTACTTTTCACACAAGACCATAAAATAATGTCCTATTTTTTGTTTTCATAAATCCTCGTATCAAATTAAATAGTGACACGTCTAATATTTAATATTCATGATATTTTAATATACTAATATGACATATGTAAACATTTTATTGGGTAGGAATATTTTTATTAACAAAATTATGAGGATATTTAATTTCTCTAAAATAATATTTAACCTGGTGAACGTTTATTTTATTGTCAACAAAACTGTTTGAGTACTTTTAAAACACCAACAAAATCTACACAATTTACGGGTAAAAGACAAAATTAGTTGAAGATGAATATGATAGACGAACAACACAAATATGGTGAAAGTTAGAGATAATCTCACTATCATTACTAAAATTAGTGATATACATATCTTTCCATTAATAGAAAATCATCATACTTTTGAAGAAGAAGAAGAAGAAGCATTATCCGAAACTTCCACTTTCTGGGCACTGTTTTCATCTTCATCATCTTCTTCTTCTTCTTCCAATGAACAAGATGACAAACAATGGCTGGTACTTGAACAAGTCCCAGAAGAAGATGCTGATGATGACGTAAATGATAAAGCAGATTCTGGGGATTCGCTACTTGTAATCATCTTCTTGGTATTATTCCCACTAGATTCCATTAATAAAGATTGATCCTGAACGTTCATTGATGACGATGAAGAACATGAAGATGGCGATGCCGAAGAAGCTCCAAGATTGACCAGCATTAAGTCAACAAAAGCTCGAATAATGTAACCATGGTTGATCTTTTCGTTCAGTGCTAGATACAAACTCAAAAGCTCTTGAAGATTCTCCCATTCTTTTAATCCTTCATCAGCATCCACCATTTCTTGCATTGACTTCTTGAAGTCAACAAATGGGTCAGTTGACTCCATCTCCATCATTGACACACTTTCTTTGAATGGTAAAACTTTTTCTTTTTCTTTTTCGTTTGGCTTTGCTTCTTCAAGGATGGAGCTTGTTTTCTCGGGTTTGAAAAAGAACCTGTCGCTACTTAAACCTCGAATCACACACTCTATAGATGAATCCGTTTCTCCGGTGGCAGCCATGTCTACAAAATCTCCGGCGGCGGCGGTGATGGTGGTGGTGGCACGGAAAGAGAGGGTTTTATCAGGGCTGCCACAAGTAGGAAGAAATGGGAGCTTTCTTCCCATTCCTGATGGGTTTTGAATTAGGTTAGAAGAACAGAAAATGATGTGGCTTTTGAATATGAATATGAATATGAAAGTAGGAAGGGGTTAATAGGGTTATTAATGTTGGAGATTGATCTTAAATAGATGGTTCATATGCGAATTAAATGAGGAGAGGGAAGGGACTTTGTTTTTAAAATAAAAGGAGTGGTGAATGGTGAGGGAAGTTCGGATCAACAACAGTAGTAGGTTGTTGGTGGGGTCTTATTTATAATTATGGTCCTCTTTTTGTTCTTTTTGGCTAAATTACAAGTCTTTACCTTTATGTCTGGGGTTTGTTGGCTTAAGTCCTTATGGTTTAACATATATGACACTTGTACAAACTCATTTCTAAGTTAAAATGATACTAAAATGTTTATAGTTTAACCACGATTTGCAAAAATGTAATTTAGAAATAAATATAAGAGTAAAATGCAAATTTGGTTTATATGGTTTGCAAAAAAAAATATAACAAGACTCAAAAATATATACATTATTAATTTTTTTTGTAAAAAAAGAACAACTCACCATATATATATATATATATATATATATATATATATATATATATATATATATATATATATATATATATATATATATATATATATATCAATGTTGTAAAAATCGATCGACGGTAGCTCGACGGTCGACTGGTGTTAAGAGATTAATCGATCTTGGTGGGGATTAATCGAGGACCATAGATTATTAATAAAATATTAAAATTAATCAAATATTAATATATCTTAAGAAAAACAAATACTTCAAAATTAGAAAAATATGAAAATTTGTAATTTGAAAATACGAAAATATGAACATTTTAATACACTATTTTAAAATTTTGAAAATTTGAAAATTTTGGAGTAAAAAAAAAGATGATTTTTTGAATTTCCGATTAATACCATAATCCTTGACGGTTGGAGAACGCCAAACGATTAATCGCCGATTAATTCTGATTTCTGCAACCATGATATATATATATATATATATATATATCTATATATTATATATATATAGATATATATATATATATATATATATATATATATATATATATATATATATATATATATATATATATACTCATTCCGTCTCAAATTATTGTCCACAAACAAAAAATACAAAAATTAAGAAAACATTAATTACCACTAGGTTTATTAAATGAATTGATAGTTTTACCACTTTGTTATATTTAATTCCATTGTAGGTGAACTAATAATGAGGATATTTTAGTAAAAGTATATTTATTTTTAGAAATAGACTATTATTTTGAGACAAAACAAAAAGAAAATTATGGAGTATTAATATGGGACAGAAATTCTAACACACAAACTGCGTTTCGTAAAATATGTCGTAAATGCATGTTGTAAATGTGTGTCATAAATTTATGACATGCAAATGCGTGTCATCTTTCATTACAATTGGGGATTTAATGACACACATTTTCTTGTCATATGTACCCTTTTATGACATGTAATGTGTGTCATTAGAGATCTATTTTATAGTACTCTCTCTCTCTCTCTCTCTCTATATATATATATATATATATATATATATATATATATATATATATATATATATATATATATATATATATCTTTTGTGTCGTCGCAGACGTAGCCAATCATCTTGATTGTCTGAACAATGTAAATTGGTTGTGTCTTGTTATCTTTTGCATATGTTACTCTATGGTGAGACCGTTTATCGTTTCTTTAAGTAACCTTAATTCCCAATACATCACAAAACTAACTAACTACAATGAGGTTATGCCTTAAACCCTTTACATACGATATAATTTTGAAAACTTTACCGAATTGCATGAAGAGATCATGACCATTAGTTTGAACTTTGTTATTATCAACAAAAGTCACTACATGTCCATATTTATTTATATAGTCATTAAGTAATGAACTGCAACATTTCATGTGTCTAAAGCAACCATTTTCTAAATACAACATATGCTTTTGCCCTAGTGACACATTCAAAGGAAATGTTAGATACCTTTGAGAATCCATTTACTAATAGGTTTGACTGCGATAGATGGAGATTATGAGAAAACATTGTAACATTCATTAGGTAAATAGTTTAATGAATGTTATTTCTTTTTCCATTTGTTATTAATCACTTTAATGTTTTTAGTAAGCCTGACTCCGTGTTCAAGAGACCATTCAGCCGCCTGATGCTTTCTTTCATCACATTTATAGCTTTTCTTTTTATTTTTCTTTGTAATTTAAGGAACACCTTTTAAAAATTCATTAGATTTGGTTTTGGGTTGTGTAACATCCCAAAAATTTCAACTAATTAAAACTTTTCAAAACAACCCATTTACTAATAAAAGTGTTTACAAAACATTGTTTTCAAAACATTATTTAAAAAATCAGTGTCTCCCAAGATCAATGACATGAAATCAGGATGTGTACGGTCACGCCTTCGCCTTGCCACGGTTCTCTAAAGTACCTGAAACCATAAACCAAAACTATAAGCACAAAACTTAGTGAGTTCCCCCAAAGTACCACTACACAACCAGATAACATATACCAACAAACAGCATGTATACAGAGCCTTCAACATGACTGGACCGCTGAAAGAACCCCTTTCTATACTTTCATATTTTTGAAAGACCCAAACTTTCATACTTGACAATATAGTTACTCCATAACATACTACATGCATATTCATAAAATAATATTTTTACATTGATAAAGTCATTACAAAAGATTGGATACAAACCGACTATGTTTTAAGATTTTACATGACTACCCAGGATATTGTAAATCTATACAAACCTAAACCAAAATACAAAAAAAATAATATTACAACTATTCTAAGTCTTCCAACTATACTGGGTGCTTATTTCCTGCATTATGTTAAAACATTGGGAGGGGTAAGCGATAACGCTTAGTGAGTTCAATAATAGATACAATATAACGCTATGCCATATATATACCAATATGTCAGAAGCAAATAGGAGCAAGGAACAACAAAGGCATAATGTGATAAGTTTTCCCTAACAATTATTGATTTGATTCAAAGATATACAATCATTGAGACATAACAATTTCCATACTTGATAAACATCAATAACGCTTCGGCCCAAATGGCACTGAAGACAAACAATTTCCGATTAACATTAAGGTAGATTTCAGTTTTCACGCCCTGTCTAACCTTCTGCCAATGCCATAGAATAGAGTCATTCACTTACTGGGGGACATGCTCTACATGGCCAGAGGCTACATACCAGTACCACTGTGAATCTGAGTTCTTAAACTGATCACATGGCCAAAGGTATAGCTTTGCTATCATAAATAGCAGAAATAAAAATAACACGGGAAAATACTCAGGAATATATTCTACCGAAGCCAAAGTGATGCCTATGTCATACACTTCATGGTCAACGGTTCATACCAATACCCAAGTGATGCTTATGTCATACACTTCAAGTCAGAGGTACAACTTGCTATAAAATAGCGGATACAACAACTCGAGAGGATAACATGGAAAAGCACATAACTATACAACACACATAACATACAACTGTTCTAATATTATTAAAACTCACCGTGAATTAACGGGGGTCAAAATAATAATTTGGACAGCACTTCGGCTCTAAATATGACTTTCGTCGTTGAAAACCGGGCTCTGCGAAGGTAGAGCTTCGAAACCGAAAAGA